GAGCAAGATCTAAAAGGTCAGCCAATCTAACAGTGATCTCAGCCCACAATCCTCACTCTTGCTCCATATGCGGCCTCCTTTGTAAATCACTAGCGGATCTTAAATGCCATCGCACAAAATTTCATAACTGAAACAAGCTGTCAGATCCTCATACGTCGAAAACGACGGGAGATTCCATTATTATTATATAATGAAAAATTTCTTAACATGTAGAAAAAGACAATATATATTAAGGTAAAAGACAACAGGAAAACTGTATTATTAGCCGACGCGTTTCGTCCAATGTGGATATTTTCAAGGCAAGAACGAAATGAATTTATTGAAAACAAACTATTAGCAACAAGCAAAATGTCCTTAGCAACTAGAAGAATTTAGAAAACACTATTGTATTCATATTGCCAACTGAAATTAAGACAAGTACTGTCACGTGTGGAAATCTTGTTGATGAAGAAATCAAAAGAAAATGGTTGAATCAGTCAACACAACAATAAAAACAATAATACAGTTTTCCTATTGTCTTTTAACTTATATATATATATATATATATATATATATATATATATATATATTATTTATTTAAAAATATGATTCCAAATCGCTACATAAGAGGTCTCATGTTTCAAAAACTAGAGCCGAATGTAGCGATTTGGAATCATATTTTTAAATAAATAATTATATTTATGCTCTACTTTTGTATCGAGCACTATTTTTTAAAATAATAACTAAAATACTAAGGGACTTTGGATTATTTACCTAACCAGTTCCTTCCTATTTTCTATATATTTTATATATATATATATATATATATATATATATATATATATATATATATATATATATATAGGTGGCAGTTGTCACTATGCAGATACTGATAATAAAAAAGCAAAGTATTGAAGTAGGTGGCTTGCGGTTCGCAGTATTGGTAATTAATTTACTATTGTTAATCATAGCATTTTATTGTTTTTAAACAGAATTAAGCAGAACCATTTTAATAATAAATTTCTGAACTGTTGATATATTGCTTTATATTTATTGTTATTGTAACTGTATAGTGACTTTATTGAAACCATATATATATATATATATATATATATATATATATATATATATATATATATATATATATATATATATATATAGGATTAATACAAATATAATATTTGTCACTTAGTAGAATGATGTTCAGCACCTCTACTCCAGAGTTTCGTAGACGAACCTTTGTGTAATCGTTTGGTCCATTTGTCAAGAGGTATCCGCAATTGTCTGTCGATTTTCTCATTTTAGTTATTTTTATATTAAGTTAAAAAAAATAATTTATGTGGATTTTATTGGTGTTAGATTGATTTTTTATTCTTTGTATGTGTGCGCGTATGCCCGAGTGTCTGTATGTGTGTGCGCGCGTGTTTGTATGCGTGCGTGTATACGCCTGTACGTGTCTTTATGCGCACATATGTAGGATGTCATGATTATTTCTTCTTTTCATAAACTTCTCACCTCCTTCTACTCTCTCATTGTTCCTTTACTTTCTTTTCTCTATCTTTCGGCTCTGAGTGTCAAAAGATAATGTAACAATGTTATTTCCGGTATCATAGACAGGACATATTTAGGATATTTTTTTCTTGAATACTCTGGGGTTTTCTAAAGTTTTTGAAAATATAGGTGTATTCCGTTTTTAATTTATTTCTATTTATTTTATAATTATATTTAATCTGACTGGTTACTGCTTGGGGGTGGGGGTAACCGATTTGTGTTGCAAACGCATGGTTGAGCATTTGATGTTGAAAATAGCTGTAAAGAAATGTAATATAAACTCGATCACAGAAGATATTCCGTCTGAGCTTGTACTTAATATCTGCGGGAAGGTGCTATCTCGTGCCTGGCTTTGCTAGTCATCTAAGATTATATGAAAATCGGCAGTCTACTTCCGACTATGGCAGACTTGCAGGCTACTTATGTTAGTTTTGATAAATTTTGTAGTTCTGCCTAAAAGTTGAATCGGCACAAATAAGAGTTCACGAGGAAAAAGTCAGGGCGCTCCAAAAGTCTTTCGTGTTTCGCATATGTAAAAAGGTAGGCAGGAACGATGCTGGTTTGCAAAGTCATCTGCTAACCCATGACCGCTCAATCTTGACGATATTGCCTTCTTCTGTAAAGAAGTGGCAATTATAAAAAGAAATGAGAGAAGAAAAAGGGAAAATGAAACATAAACTAATAAAAAAGACTGAAAGACAAACACCTACATAAACAGTAGTAGATAGTGATCTGTGTCTAACTTACAGAGGCAGAGCAAGTACGCTTCGCAACGACACGACTCAGAACGTTCTGGCCGCCCGACAACCGCTGTAGCCTGAAACTTAGCGGTCCGAACTTTGTCTATTTCTGAGTAAGGAATGTTTAAAGGTAATCGGCTTGACTCCAAAGGTTATTCCAAAATAAATTATTATTATTATTATTATTAATTTTAGGAAATGGGCCAGACCGAGCATTTCATACGAGTTAGTGTTTTAAAGTCAGTATATTGTACATATTCTGATTTTACAGTTCAAATGAAATGGTGCACAGCTAACGCTCACTAAAAAAAATGCCTGCATTAAATGTTACACAGAGGTCGGCACTTTAAAATTTTCCTCACGCTTTTGGAAAGATTGTTTAGGTCCAACTGAATTTCATAAGTAGAACGTGCGTTTGAAGGCCGATCGAGTGTTGGTTTAAAGTAAGTATTCAGAGCAAAAAATAGACAGGAAGACATCGTAAAATATAGAAAATTGTGAACTTATCTAGGAGGTCTGTCACCAAATAATACTTTAATCTCTGACATGATTAGAATCAGTTATAGATTATTATTATTTTTATTGTAGAGATCCTCATGGAAAACCTGAACATGCATCGTTCTACTTTTTTCTCTCTCATAGAACATCGTTTTCGTCTATGAAACAATAGCGAAAAACTAGTATATAAGTTAATATCAAAAAATTCCCGAAATAGGCCTAAGACAAATTATTTCATTATTCTCATAAGTGATATGATTATGGTTCGAAAAAAGAAATTCTTGGCTCAACCAAGAACACCCTCGAAAAAGAAAAAAATATTAACCATTTGGTCAGGTTTGGGGAAATATGTAGGATCGAGCACTGCCTTATATAATTCTAATAGTATCTATGTGAGTGTCACGAAACAGTTAACGTTCTGGAATTGGCTAGTCGAGTTCAAATTCCGGACTAGTCTACTGCTTTCATTTTTGCACTAATGCTGGTATAGTAAGGTGGATTGGGTTCCACACAGTCAAAAAGAAGAAAAACTCTGAATTCCAAAACCTTGGATAACGCAACAGGAAACCACCAATTTTTATAAGAATTTATGGCGATTAGCGTATACTAAAAGAATCTGTGAAAAGCCATGATTGCCTAGGTTCTGGAGACATTTTTTTTAATAAATGCATTATAGCTATGATAAATTTTGAATTATAAATTAGCTACTGTAAATCATTAAGAAAAATAACTCCTAAGAAAATAGAATAATTGTATCAATTTATTGTTATAATAAAGTTGGATAGAAAATGCGTTTTTACTGTAGATCTTAGCAATCTCAGCATATTGCTTTTTTCTTTCGTTCTCATGTCGAGAATGTTCGCCTTTTCGCTTAAAGGTAACACTTTACGACTTCTTTAAGGTATGTTTGAATTGTCAATGTCACTACGCCTTCGCTGTGATTGACTGCAGACAATTTAAGCTGCGGGTAAGGGATATCAATTGTGTAATAGAAGTGTTTTCTACTTTTATTTCAGACTTTAAAGGTTCCTACTTTTTCGATCCTGAAGCTCTGTTCACTTTACTTCGTTCAATAAAAACTGTTTGTCGTCAATCCTCTTAATAACATCTCTATTAGGATTTTTTTCATATTAACTTAGTCAAAATGGTTTTTAACAGGTTGGTTTGACTTGACCCACAGTGTTACACTTCTTCTAGAATGTTTGCCAACCAAGGCTATAGAGCATAGTCAGTCCCGCTATTTAACCCATAGATCTTGGGAGACTAAATAAATTCATAATTTTCTCAAGGGTATTTGGGCGAAAGTGAATGCAACGACTTCGGTTGGAATTTGAACTCGTCATGCCTATATATATAGGGGGCTATTCAAAAAGAATGAACCGATTTCATGACATATTGCTTCAGATCTCAAGCATCGTCATGGAATTAGCCAGTGGCTATTTGAAAGAGGAGTTTTCTAAGTTCTGAATGGCTGCCACAGTGGCGCTGTCGTCGCGTCGTATCTTCGGCAACGTTCAGTTGTTTTCCGGAGTCCTCAGCGAAAGGCGTTCTGCGTTCTCGATTTTGCGAAACCAATACAGTTGTCAGGGTGCAGCGTGGTTTTCGACGGTAATTCGACATTAATCTACCCTCTCCTTCGACGGTGATTTAAACAGTTTCAAGAGAGCGGGTGTCTGTGTAAAGGAAAAAGTCCAGGACAACCACGAGTTTCGGAGGAACAAGTGGCAATAATCCGTGCTGCGTTTGAGGAGAGTCCATAGAAGTCCACGGAAATCGAGCTAGCCGGAAGCTTGCGGTCCCTCAATCCACTATCTGACGTGTACTAAGAAGACCTCTTCATTTGAAACCTTACAGACTAGGCCTCGTTCAGGCACTTGCCTAGATCTTGGCACTTGGCCTTGCGAGATCCCCAGAACTCACTGTATTTGATTTTTTTCTAGTGGGGATACGTAAAAGATCGCGTTTATGTTCCACCGCTACGCACTAACCTCGATTACCTTAAATATCGAATAACAACTGAGATCAACTCAGTGGATCGTGATATGCTGATACGCGTCTGGAAGTAAAGTCTCATATCGCATTGATGTAAGACATGCTGCAGATGGAGGCCACATTGAGTAGAATACTTGTGACTTGGTTGGAGTTTTCTATTGCTTTTCCTTATTAAAATATTGAGTAATGAAATCGGTTCATTCTTTTTTAATAATACTGTATATATATAAATAAACGCACATAGATAGATAGATAATGAACAGACTGAGATAGATAGATAGATAGATGTAAACATACAGTGAGCCTCCTCCCAGTTTTTCACAAACCTGTCACATAAAACCCCACATTTCTATATAGATGATGAGAGAAGAATTATATTCATAATTTTCTCAAGGGTATTTGACTTCGGCTGGAATTTGAACTCGTCATGCCTATCCCACTTTTCGAGCCGGTAACCATAATGCTACGCACCCATCCACTGCCGACAATACTAACCCAAAACATTATTCCACCTCCTCACTGTTGTCTTCTATTTTGTATTAATTGATTATTTCTATCAAGGACCTAACCTCTAGTCTAGCTATAAGGTCCATCCAATGTAACTCTACATCCATCATTAAAAATTGCTAAAAAAATTAGTTTCATGCAATATTTTAATGTATTTTTTGTGCATGCCACCCTAATGTCTGTGCCGATAACAGTCAGTTATGTGCTATGCGTGATACACGCTTAGGCGATCATGTAGCTTTCGATACATGACTGACGAGGCAGATTTTCTCCCGCAATAGATTGCCATTTCTTTCTGCGGTAGACCAGTTGCCATCCATGGCTATATAATCCAGTCTGTCCTGTTATTTACCTATAGCTGGTGGGGGGGGGAGAGAAGAGGATTCATTACTTTTCCCAATGGTATTAGCACATAAGTGCCGCCATCCATTACTCCACCCCGCCGATAACAACGTCCCCGTAAAAAAGCCTACTTATTACAGAAACCACAGCAGCCACATTAACGTATTGAAACTGTGGCGCTATACGCTGTTATATGGATTGAGAAGGATGCATTGTCTCTATTGCTATAAGTGGAGGGAGAGGGGGGTCCCTCAGTGAGAACAGTTACAAATATAGCGCCCGTTGTCAGGATTGAAATCACAACAGTGTAAAGGTGTGTGAGGTTCGGTTTGTGGTCCAAAAACTCTTGAAGGTTTCGGTATCAATCCTTATATTGCTACCATTTCGCATAAATTCCTAGAAGCTATGATTTATTCATCTGAAAATTTAAATCCACGTTAAAAACAAAATGTATTCGTGGTTCATCTGAACGCTTTCGTTTCGTTTTGTTTTTTAATGATGTGTGAGAAAGTTCTTTCAGTTGGAAAAGAGAAAATAGAAGCTAAGAGGAGTAAAGTAGCAATGGAGTGTTTTTTTTTTTGTTTTTTTTATTGAAGAATGTGTTGAGATCGGGTGGGAGCAGAAGTAGAGGGAGAGTGAAAAAGGCGGGATTTTCAACCGGGCTTAATTGGAACATCAAAAGAAGTATGGTTTCAGGTTGGCGGTCGAATTAAAGATTAACGAAGCAAAGAATTTGGGAAGAACGGGAGAAAGGTGTTTGTTTTTGCATTTGAATAAATGAAGAAGGATTAAGTGGTGAAATGGAGGAAGTTTTTCAAAAGATTAACAGAAAAAAGGAGGAAGAGTCGGAGATTTGAGGATCAGGGGGAGGAAGAGGAGAAAAAGGAAAAATAAATTGCGGAAAGAAGAATATCACGAAGAAAGAGAAGGAGCAGTAGAAGGAGGAAGAGGAGGATAAAGACGAAAGAGAGAAGGAGAAAAAAAGGAAAAATAAACTAAGAGAAGAAGAAGAACTGAAGGAGGAAAGGAAAAAGAAGAAATAAAGGAGGAGAAGAAGAAATAAAGGAGGAGAAGAAGAAGTGGAGAAAAAGAAAAGCAAACTGAGGAAAGAAGAAGAAGAAGAAGAAGAAGAAGAAGAAGAAGAAGAAGAAGAAGAAATAAAGAGAAGAGGAGGAGTAAGAGGAAGTGGAGAAAAAGAAAAGCAAACTGAGGAAAGAAGAAGAAGAAATGAAGGAGGAGGAGAAGAAGAAGAAGGAGGAGAAAAAAAGAAAAAATTGAACTGAGGAAAGAAGAGGAAGAGGTGGAGGAGGAGGAAGAGAAGAAAAAGAAGAAACAAACTGAGGAAATAAGAATCAAGAAGAAGAAGAAGAAATACTTGTGAAAGAATTAAAATTGACAAGAAAATAATCACGTTGAAAATAATTTACAAGAATGAATAAACTTATGTATATCTTTTTTATGTGTTGTATTCCTTAAGGAGATAGGTTCTTCACAACTTCCTGCCTTTTTCTGTTCTAAGTATTGTTTTATCTTGTCTACTGTCATTGTCCCTATTCTGTCATTCATTCACACAAAATCGTTAAGTAAATTACTCATTGCAATCCCTTGTTTCTTTTGCTTTCAGTTTGTCCATGTGAGTTTTAAATTCCTCAATATAAGCCACCAAAATTTTCTCATTCTGATTGTATCATTTTTTTGTTGTTCTTATTTTCATTAAAACGTCCTCACTGATCACATGTTCTATCCATGGTATTCTTAACATTTATCGGTAGAACCAGAGCTCCGTCTCTTCAAGTCTTCGAGGAAACTATCCAGCATTCTCTGGCACATTCTCTGAAATCTCCTGTATTGCAGAGAATTATGGGTAAGATTTACGATTAATAAAACAGGTCAACATACTTTTTCTCTGTTTCCAACGAAAATTGAAGATCTCTTAATACTTTGCTTAACTTTTGGAAGGCATCTTTCTCTACTCAAATACGTCTTTGGATTTCTACGTCACATTTTACGTCGTTGGAATAATACACTACCTAATCAGTTCGAAATTCCCATTACTTAGCGACAAAACGTAGGTTATTTATTTTGCTGATAACCGTGGATGTATTTCCCCTTATAGATTGACATATATATATATATATATATATATATATATATATATATATATATATATATATATATATATATATATGCCAGAGTAACACAAATAGTAGTATGAGGGGAGGAGAAAAATTTCTAACTTCAACCAGGTTCAAATAACCCAAGCTGAACTTTTAAAATGTCTGCATTTGGTCATGATCTTAAATTGTTGAGTCTGTGTAGTTGATTTGGTGAACAAACCACTTGAGGAGACAGTAGATGTCGAAACTGTTTTAGTGTGCTCTGGTCAGCTTTTCATGCTTTTTTAATAATATATATATATATATATATATATATATATATATATATATATATATGCACATGCACATAGATAGATAGATAGATAGATAGATAGATAGATAGATAGATAGATAGATAGATAGGGAAACATACTGCGATGCCAAACCCGGCACATAGAACCCCACATTTTTATTCTCGTTCCTGTGTGCACCAAAAACTGGGAAAGGCCTGCTGAAATATCACAAGTAAACGAAAGGAGACAATAAACATCACGACGAACCCTATTTCCAATATATTTAGTTGTTTCATTAAAGGATTCTCTTACATAACCTGGGTTGGGATAACTTCTGCATTTTCTACCATTTCAGACTAATAGATCAGCTCATCCTTCTCCTACCACATCTCTTCCCAATCCTAAGATCAGGGCGTGCTGCAGGCAATTCTTGCCGACAGCATAGTAACTACCTGAAGAGGAGCCTTTCCCGTAAACAGTCCAGTACTGACCTTATTCCCAACTGATCATTAATATAAACTAGCAACCGGAAACCTTTAAGTCCGGTTTGCTGTCACTTGTTCTCAAAAGTTTTCATTCATTTATTTATTTCCTCTCGATCAAGTGGGTAACCGCTTTTAAAACAATTTCTCACAGATCTTATCGTATGTTATAAAACACGGAACAGTTGAGACTGAGATAAAATCATACATATCTCCTATGTAGACGTTCCATTCATAGTATCATATATATATATATATATATATATATATATATATATATTTTATAGAGTTAAAAGAATAACTTGAAATGTGTAATCTTGAGTGTTTCAATCGATAGTAACATCCGGAAAAAGTTTTGAAAAATAAATTATTAAGCACTATTTCGCAGCTGCTTGGACACGTGGAGTATGAGTATATTTTTGGGCTTCTGTAGAGGCATCCGATTACAATGAATTTACATATCAAAATAAAACTATTAACTTTTACAAAATTTTATAAAACATTTATTTTTCATATTCGGAATTTTTACAGCTTATCAACCCTTTGTAAGTTTTAAATTTAAATTCACAATCTGGAGTGAAGTGCTGAACTGTTAAGTGACATCATTTCTTTTGAATCCTGGACAATTTCCTCACAGACGAAGAGAAAACTGAGGGCAACAGAAATGTGGTTCTACAGAACGATGATGAAAATTCCGTGGTTGCAGCTCGTTAGCAACGAAAAAGCCTTAAAGAAAATGGAAACAAAAATGTCACTTATACTTAGAATCAGAAAGAGATAGTTGAAATTTCTGGGACACAATCAGGAAGAGGGGTTTGGAAATATTGACACTTACATGGCATATTCAGGGCAAGAGGTACAGGAGAAGGAAGGGAGCTACCAATCTGACAGGCTTGTGTGGGTGTGTGGCGTAACAAGGGCGGGAGGCTTGGTGAAGGGACAAGAGTTGCTAAGGGTTACAAGCAAAACCGGTGCAAAAGTTTCGTAGACCTTCACCGAATCTATGATACAGGTCCCCCCCTCGAATCTATAATATGGACTTCCCCACTCTACTACATCTCAATTTTCATAAGATAGTATTCATATAAAATACAAATTTTATTCTAACCTAAATGCAATATACGTGAACAATTCAACTAGAAAAATCGAAGATAAATACAATGAATCTAAATACAAATTAGTGACATGTTATAGTAGATCGTTTCCTCTTAAATAAATCAACGTTTTGCGGCAATTCTTAACACCAACTTTAGATTTTTCATGTTAAAATGTTGAATAACTTTAACACATTCAACATTATTGATAAAAAATAGTGATTTTTATATATTCTTTTTTTGAGACTTAGCGTGAGCAAAACTCAAAAATTCATTGATTTGGACGAAAAAAAAATTGAATGACGTCAAAATCTGCGAAAATTTTTCATCCTTTATTAGTCAGTTTTCCTTAGTTTAATTTGTAACGTCTATAAATGTTGGTAGAAAAAACAAATGCTGATAAAATAGAAAGGATCACAAAGTACTGCCCAGGGCCCAAATCAGGCTTGACCCATTCTGGTCGAGGTGGGTAGTACGTACCAGCTTTGGTTACAAGGGATAGTAGTTTGTGAAAAGCCATGATCACCCACATCCTGAAAGGACCCAGCAAGTAAAAAGAAAAGATATGAAATGCTTAATTTATAGTAGTATTAAAAGAAATTGGGAAAATGATTATTCCTAGCCGAAGGGCCTTTTATAAAACTCCCTTACTTTGAGTTCTTTCTTGGTTGTCTAATGTTCCGTATTCGAATTAACGCGTTTCTTAAAAATAATATTTGTTAATGAGAAACGGTAATTTGTATCAAGTTATTAATAATTTTAACTATTTTTTTGCTTCCATCTTCTTTTCGTCACTTTTAATATCAGGTAGTAAGCGCAGGTAAGCGGCGTGAGAAATGGAATCGGTAACGGGAGCTTTGTCTGTTACATTCACCTTAGCACTAATGACAATAGGAAAGGCACGGATCTATTTATCCTCTCTATCTATAGGTTAAATAGGTAGACTGAGATATCTAGCCTTGAATAATCATCTGTTTAAGAGAAATCAACGAAAAAACTCTTCATAGTCCTTCCCAACAAGTCATGGCAAAATCGAAAAATATAACAAAGAAATATTTTTGTTTTAAATACAAAAAGGAGTAAAGTGCAATAAATGATTTGTCTTTTGTTTTGTTCGTTTCTTTTTACGGTGAGTGAATTTTTGTCTTCTTGCTTTTCCTCCCCCTGTGTTTTAGCACATTTGTATATATTGATATACAAAATGTGGTAAAATATTGCATATATGGGAGTAATGGATACCGGCTCGGAAAGTTCGAATTCCAGTCGGATCCATTACATTCACTTACGTGCTAATACCCTTGGGAAAAGTATGAATCCTCTTCTTCTCCTATGGGTAAATAGAAGGATTGACTGGGTTTTATAACCCTGGATGGCAACAGGTCCAGGAGAAGGAAAAGCTCTGAATTCAAAACCGTCCTGGAGAGGGTTGGGCTCCGTCAGGCTATCTTGCCCAAGAAACACCACTTCTACTCTGGCCGCAGTACACATGATGCCCCTACGAGCCTACGGATTCATATCTTTCCCAAGGGTATTAGCACGTAAGTGAATGTAATGGATCCGACTGGAATTCGAACTCGGTTCTCCATTTCCTCAATCCATTACTCCACCGTGCCTCCATAATTATTTGCACCAATTACGTACGGGCTATTATCCTCGTCTTTGTTGTTATTTATCACAACGTTGTGCTCTCCGAACTTCACCAGGCATATGTCGATCCTGGTAACCTTCAGGGACTCTGAACTGAACCATTTCTTTAATCTACGAAACGAGAACAATCTACCTCCAACAGATTAAATAATAAGGTTTCAGTTTGAAATTCTCTTTAGGTTACCCGGATAGACATACACATGAAGGCCCAATGGCACAACGGCCGAAACGTTGTGATAACAACAACAAAGACGAGGACGATAGTTTGTATGTAAATGGTGTAAATAATTCTAAATGTCCGTTTTTAAAGACACAATTATTATTATTATTATTATTATTATTATTATTATTATTATTGAGTGGTAGGGCAATACGCCAACAAAGTGAATATATGAAGCCCATGCTGACACCTAGACTGATAAGTGTATGCCAAACACATGCATCACAGCCAAATGTGTGCGATATGTTGACAGGTTTTGACAAAAGCAGCACATAACCATGCAGATGAGATCCTGTTAAAAATACTTTTAGGTCGGGAAACAACCCAGGCCTGTCTCCGATTAAGAGCGTCCCAAAGAATGTAGATGTGACTCCCAAGCTGCCGTAACTGTCTCATCCTTCAAATTTAAAAAAAAATCTTGATATCCGATCATGATACTCTCCCACTACTCTCTCTCATACACAGAGATGCACAGTGTGTTCAACCCATAGGGGACATATTCAACATTTTAAGGTCAGTTATCTGATAATGCTATCTATGGCACAGGACGTGGTATTTGTTTTAGACTAAACTACATTTAATAAATACTTTACTGATAAAATCTAGACATTCAAAAAGGTTCCAGTGAGTACCTGACCCCACGTGCTATCCTCTACCTTTACAGGAGCCAGATCAGGCCAAGAATGGGGTACGGTTGTCATATGTGGGCGGGAGCTGCCCAGACGAAACTTCCAGCCTCGATAAAATCCAAAAGCGTCGCAGACTCCTTGCAGGAACCGAAAAAACTCACCCTCTAACCTCCCTCTCTCGCAGGCGGGATGTGGCAAGCCTCTCCCTACTCCATCGCTACTCTCACGGAAAGTGTTCTGACGAACTACATTCCTTGGTTCCGTCAGGTCTAACCGCCATGCCACTTACATTGTAGCAAACCACCCACATTCGACTCCCAAGAGGATGTTTCCCCGATCACTACAATCTTAACCCTTTCAAGTTTAGAGTTAATCGTTATCTTCCCTTCCTATCCATGTAACTGCCTCATAACGTAACCCTCTATCTCGAGTGGTCCCTGGGCCTTGCACAGGGTGAACCTTACTTCTTTTCCCACTATGTTCTAATTTATGAGATCGTGTCACACTAAATCGGGATATCTCCTCGTTAGCTTTGCGGGCAACTATTATAGTGAGTTTACTCCTCACTAAGTGCAGCACAATTGCTTACAGCTCATCACTAAAGATGCTGGAAAAATGATCGGTTCCTTATAGCGATCAAAAAGAACCTTATTCCTTCTGCAATGAGGTTTACGGCGGTATCACGTTGAAACGCAGGTTCTCGTACAATCACCGAAGTTAAGCAACGTCTAGACTAATCAGTACCTAGATGGGTGACCGTTTGGAAATATCAGGTGCTGTAAATCTTGGATGTGCGGATCGTCTAATGCATAATGGCACAGAATTGTTAATTGGAGGGCCGAGTTCCAACTCCGGTTGTGTTCGTTATATTCACTTATGTCTAAATACCCTTGGGAATGGTAACGCTCTTCCCCACCAGCTATGGGTTAAGTTTCACCAAGTTTGTTTCACCAAATTATTATTATCTCCTTACAATCTAAAAATATTTTCTGGCTTTAGATAACCTGCAAAGAGTTCATAAGCCGTAGAAAACTAATCAATCACTCAATAAAAAAAAACAACTGCGGCCTTTAACCAGACTAAACTATGTTTTATTAATAACTTAGACCAAAGTCGGGCTTCCTGTCAGCAAGAGATAAGAATTCAGAATTACATTTGACGTTGTTGTTGGTTGAGTTGATATTTTTTTTTTAATTTTGGTTTTCAACTCTAAACTGGACAGAGCATGTGAGCAACGAGAAGATTTTAAGGAAGAGAGGAACAAAAAAAGACACTTATACTTAGAATTAAAAAGGGACAATTGAAGATTTTGGGACATATAAGGATGAAAAAATAGTTGTAGAATTTGACACACACGGGACAAAGTGAAGGCAAGAAGTGTTGATGGAATTGATGAGTGACATACGTTCTTACCAAACTTGTGCAATTGGATAAAGGTTCATACGCTGAGAATGATAGTATAGGAACAAATATTGCATATTGATACAAAAAATAGGAAGTTGTGGAGAGACATGACTTCGCACGTCCAAAAGGGACACGGCACATAAAAGAAGCAGATCTGTGGACCCTAGTGCTATAGTTTAACCGCTGGGAAACCTGTTGGACATAATAGCCAGTGAAAACCATTGCAAAATATAAGAGCTTTAAGCAGTATCATAAAAAATAAAGAAATTACGAAAGGCGGGAAAATAAGAAGAGGCTTGTCGCCATGGAGACGAGTTTGCTTAGCGAATAACAAGAAGAGAAGAGCTGCTCTCGGTAGTTGGGAAATAAAGACGATTTACGAGAAATAAATGCAAGAGAATGAAGGGAATAGAGAAAAAGAAAAAGAGAGAAAAGAGGCAAAGAAAGAGAAGGGGTATGCGAAACAGATATCCCTAAAATAAAAACAAGGGTGGGAAAGATGGATAAAAAATAGAAAGAGTGCTAAAAGCGAGAGGAAAAGAATATGATGTGAAAGAAAAAAGGCGACAGTTGATGTGACTAAAAGTTCTGAAAGAAAAATGACTGGCAAGAACGAAAATCGAGGAAGAATAAAAGATAAAGAAGAATAGAATAACGAAGGAAAAGGAATAACAGAATTGAAGTAGAAGAAGAATAGAATAACGAAGGAAAAAGGAATAACAGAATTGAAGTAGAAGAAGAATAGAATAACGAAGGAAAAAGGAATAACAGAATTGAAGTAGAAGAAGAATAGAATAACGAAGGAAAAGGAATAACAGAATTGAAGTAGAAGAAGAATAGAATAACGAAGGAAAAGGAATAACAGAATTGAAGTAGAAGAAGAATAGAATAACGAAGGAAAAGGAATAACAGAATTGAAGTAGAAGAAGAATAGAATAACGAAGGAAAAGTAATAACAGAATTGAAGTAGAAGAATAGAATAACGAAGGAAAAGGAATAACAGAATTGAAGTAGAAGAAGAATAGAATAACGAAGGAAAAGTAATAACAGAATTGAAGTAGAAGAAGAATAGAATAACGAAGGAAAAGTAATAACAGAATTGAAGTAGAAGAAGAATAGAATAACGAAGGAAAAGGAATAACAGAATTGAAGTAGAAGAAGAATAGAATAACGAAGGAAAAGGAATAACAGAATTGAAGTAGAAGAAGAATAAAATAACGAAGGAAAATAGAATAACAGAATTGAAGTAGAAGAAGAATAGAATAACGAAGGAAAAGTAATAACAGAATTGAAGTAGAAGAAGAATAGAATAACGAAGGAAAAGGAATAACAGAAGTAGAATAACAGAATTGAAATTAGAAGAAGAATAAATAACGAAGGAAAAGGAATAACAGAATTGAAGTAGAAGAAGAATAGAATAACGAAGGAAAAGGAATAACAGAATTGAAGTAGAAGAAGAATAGAATAACGAAGGAAAAAGTAGGAATAACAGAATTGAAGTAGAAGAAGAATAGAATAACGAAGGAAAAGTAATAACAGAATTGAAGTAGAAGAAGAATAGAATAACGAAGGAAAAGTAATAACAGAATTGAAGTAGAAGAAGAATAGAATAACGAAGGAAAAGTAATAACAGAATTGAAGTAGAAGAAGAATAGAATAACGAAGGAAAAGGAATAAATAGAATTGAAGTAGAAGAAGAATAGAATAACGAAGGAAAAGTAATAACAGAATTGAAGTAGAAGAAGAATAGAATAACGAAGGAAAAGGAAAGAAGAATAAATAACAGAATTGAAGTAGAAGAAGAATAGAATAACGAAGGAAAAGGAATAACAGAATTGAAGTAGAAGAAGAATAGAATAACGAAGGAAAAGGAATAACAGAATTGAAGTAAAAGAAGAATAGAATAACGAAGGAAAAGGAATAACAGAATTGAAGTAGAAGAAGAATAAAATAACGAAGGAAAAGGAATAACAGAATTGAAGTAGAAGAAGAATAGAATAACGAAGGAAAAGGAATAACAGAATTGAAGTAGAAGAAGAATAGAATAACGAAGGAAAAGTAATAACAGAATTGAATAGAATAACGAAGGAAAAGGAATAACAGAATTGAAAAAGAAGAATAGAATAACGAAGGAAAAGGGAATAACAGAATTGAAGTAGAAGAAGAATAAAATAACGAAGGAAAAGGAATAAATAGAATTGAAGTAGAAGAAGAATAGAATAACGAAGGAAAAGGAATAACAGAATTGAAGTAGAAGAAGAATAGAATAACGAAGGAAAAGGAATAACAGAATTGAATAACAGAATTGAAGTAGAAGAAGAATAGAATAACGAAGGAAAAGTAATAACAGAATTGAAGTAGAAGAAGAAGAATAGAATAACGAAGGAAAAGGAATAACAGAATTGAAGTAAAAACGAAGAAAAGAATAACGAATTGAAAAGGAATAACGAAGGAAAAGGAATAACAGAATTGAGAAGAAGAAGAATAGAATAACGAAGGAAAAGGAATAACAGAATTGAAGTAGAAGAAGAATAGAATAACGAAGGAAAAATTGTAAAGAAGAATAAATAGAATTGAAGTAGAAGAAGAAGAAGAATAAAAGGAATAACGAAGGAATAGAAGAAAAGGAATAACAGAATTGAAGTAAAAGAAGAATAGAATAACGAAGGAAAAGGAATAACAGAATTGAAGTAGAAGAAGAATAGAATAACGAAGGAAAAGTAATAACAGAATTGAAGAAAAAGAAGAATAGAATAACAGAATTGAAGAAAAGGAATAACAGAATTGAAGTAGAAGAAGAATAAAATAACGAAGGAAAAGGAATAACAGGAATAAAGAAGAATAGAATAACGAAGAAAAGGAATAAGAAGAATTGAAGTAATAGAAGAAGAATAGAATAACGAAGGAAAAGGAATAACAGAATTGAAGTAAAAGAAGAATAGAATAACGAAGGAAAAGGAATAAAATAGAATTGAAGTAGAAGAAGAATAGAATAACGAAGGAAAAGTAATAACAGAATTGAAGTAGAAGAAGAATAAAATAACGAAGGAAAAGGAATAACAGAATTGAAGAAGAATAAAAACGAAGAAAGGAAATAACAGAATTGAGAAAGAAGAATAGAATAACGAAGGAAAAGGAATAACAGAATTGAAGTAGAAGAAGAATAGAATAACGAAGGAAAAGGAATAACAGAATTGAAGTAGAAGAAGAATAGAATAACGAAGGAAAAGAATAACAGAAGGAAAAGGAATAAATAACGAGAATTGAAGTAGAAGAATAAATAACGAATAAAAGAAGGAAAAAGAATAATAACAAGAATTGAAGAAGAAGAAGAATAGAATAACGAAGGAAAAGGAATAACAGAATTGAAGTAGAAGAAGAATAGAATAACGAAGGAAAATGAATAACAGAATTGAAGTAGAAGAAGAATAGAATAACGAAGGAAAATTAATAACAGAATTGAAGTAGAAGAAGAATAGAATAACGAAGGAAAAGGAATAACAGAATTGAAGTAGAAGAAGAATAGAATAACGAAGGAAAAGTAATAACAGAATTGAAGTAGAAGAAGAATAGAATAACGAAGGAAAAGGAATAACAGAATTGAAGTAGAAGAAGAATAGAATAACGAAGGAAAAGTAATAACAGAATTGAAGTAGAAGAAGAATAGAATAACGAAGGAAAAGGAATAAATAGAGAATTGAAGTAGAAGAAGAATAGAATAACGAAGGAAAAGTAATAACAGAATTGAAGTAGAAGAAGAATAGAATAACGAAGGAAAAGGAATAACAGAATTGAAGTAGAAGAAGAATAGAATAACGAAGGAAAATGAATAACAGAATTGAAGTAGAAGAAGAATAGAATAACGAAGGAAAATTAATAACAGAATTGAAGTAGAAGAAGAATAGAATAACGAAGGAAAAGGAATAACAGAATTGAAGTAGAAGAAGAATAGAATAACGAAGGAAAAGTAATAACAGAATTGAAGTAGAAGAAGAATAGAATAACGAAGGAAAAGGAATAACAGAATTGAAGTAGAAGAAGAATAGAATAACGAAGGAAAAGTAATAACAGAATTGAAGTAGAAGAAGAATAGAATAACGAAGGAAAAGGAATAAGTAGAAGAAGAATAGAATAGAATTGAAGTAGAAGAAGAATAGAATAACGAAGGAAAAGTAATAACAGAATTGAAGTAGAAGAAGAATAGAATAACGAAGGAAAAAGAATAACAGAATTGAGGTGAAAGAAAAATGAAAACTACAAGAATGACATAAAAGAAAGACTAAAAAGAGAGACAAAGAAAAGAAGAAAGAAAAGGAAGATTGAAGAAGTTAAAGAATAATAGAAGAGACAAAAAGAAATATTAAAAAGAAAGAAAGAG